AATATTTAAGAGTCTGATGCACATGTGGAGTCCTAACATCATAACAGAGTTCCATTATTCTCATTTGCCTTCCATTTTTGACCAGAAAAAAAATTTTACGCATATTGCTACATCACAATGAGGAAAATACTGTATGATAAAAATTCCACGCAAATGTTATTAAGAGGAAAATGGCGGAATGATAGAAAAATTGTTTAAGACAGCAAACAAAGACTTCAAATGAGAAATTGGGAGCAGGGCATGGTGGTGCACGCTTGTAATGCCAGCACTTGGGAGGCTGAGGCAGGGAGATCACCCCAACCTTGGAGCCAGCCTGGGCTACATAGTGAGGTCAAGGTCAGCCTGAACTACACAGTGAGATTCTGTGTCAAAAAAACACACACAAATGAGAAACTGTTGAGACTGATATGTATGCAAGACCATTTTCTTGTTCAAAGACATTAGCCTGACAGGCCTAAAATGACACTGACTCTACAGAGCTACCAGGCAGATTCATCCCTGTAAAACTAAACTGGCTAAATCTGAAAAGCAAAAGTCCATCGGGAACTGATGACACTGACAGGGATGGTGACATGACCACCAGCCAGATATCAGCATCCATTGTATCTTTATTCACTCTTACATGAAAGTGCTTCCCATCTGAACAGAACACCAGTTCAGTTCTCCAAGGGATGCTTTCTATTTCCTGAAAAATTATCATGAAGGAAAACTAAAGTGCACACTCTTTTTCACATCTTTAAATAATAACATTGAAAGGATAAGCCAAAATTCCAAACCTTCCCTTTATCCCCTTGGCCATTTTATGAGTTTATCTTCTCCTACTAGGGTAATAAGAGCAGTTAATAAACTGGAAGTATTTTCCCCAAAGCAGGTCTTGTTATCAAACAGAAGGGGAGAGCTACATTTTATCAGCCTGTGTCCTCACCACAGGAGTGAGCCTTGCTCTGTTCTCTGAGATATCTCATGCACTATTCAGCAAAGCCTGGCTCACACTGATTTAAATTCAAACCAGATGACCTCTCCGTTCTGTCAAGGTCTTTGATCAAATGTTACTTGAGGAACAACTTCTCTGGGCATTCTCTCTCAGTACCTACCTTCCTTGGCTTTATTTTCCTTCACTGCTCTTATCACTAACCTGCACTGTGGTAGAGATGATCCAGTCTTGCCTACTGGGTCTCCCTATCCCCACATCTTCTTATCTTTGGCATCAAGGAATTGATGAGCACTTAACTTTTCCTGTCTTGTCCCCTGTCATGGTCCTCACCAGCTGGAACAGTACCCAGCACACACTAGGTGCTCAAAAATTTGTTTGTTTTTTAAACTAAATGAATGAATGATTGTCTTCGAACTTAGTACATATTTCAATTCACGAGGTCAAGGGCCTTGTCAGTTTCTCTCACTAATATGTACCAGCAAGGGTGCCTGGCACACACGGAGCGGAGAGTGAAACTGGCATGCAGAATAGAAGGGACAGACAATATGTAATGATTAAAGTCTGATCCTTTTCCTATGACATATTTGGGTTGGGGAAGGTGGAAGAGAGCATAAGCCTGGAAAAAGAAGCCGACTAAAGGAGGGACAAAAGGAATGGCAGGTAGCACGAAAGGCAGACCTTTCTTCCACCCCACTTCTGTTTAGAGCTGATAAAGAAAACATGTAAGATTCAATAACCTAACCTTTTCTGTAATGTATCCAATAAATAACGAATACTGCTTAGCACAGGAAACAATCAAGAGAGTGAAAAGGCCACCTGTAGAATGGGAGAAAATATACACAAACTATGTATTTTATTAAAGGTTAATATCCAAAATAAACAAGGAACTCATACAACTCAATAATGAAAACATGATTAAAAAGTTAGCACATCATTCGAGAAATGCAAATTAAAACAACACTGAGATTCCATCTCACCCCAGAAAGAATGGCTATCATTAAGAAATCAACCAGTAACAAATGCTGGAGAGGCTGTGGGGAGAAAGGAACCCTACTCCACTGCTGGTGGGAAGGCAGACTGGTGAAACCACTATGGAAATCAATTTGGAGATTCCTCACAAAACTAGGATTAGAAGTCCCATTCAACCCAGCTATTCCCCTTCTGGGTATTTTCCCAGAGAATTAAAGACATCATACCACAGTGATATGTGTGCACCCATGTTTATAGCAGCATAATTTGTCATAGCTAAATCTTGGAAACAACCCAGATGCCCATTCACTGAGGAGTACACAAAAAAGTTGTGGTATTTTTCTACAATGGAGTATTACTCAGCTATTAGAAAAGATAAACTAGAGGCTTTTGTAGGTAAATGGATGCAACTAGAGACCATACTCATAAGTGAAATAAATCAGACCCACATGTGTAAACATCATATTGTCTCCTTGGTGTAGGAACATGAAAGACTAGGTAAAACTCAAAACGTACAACAGATGATAGAAAAGGGAAAGAAATTGCTAAAGGAAGGAATGACTGGGATGAGAGAAAGAAGAAAAAAGAAGGAGGCAAAACATAAATATATATATGAATAGCTGCAATGACTGTATTGCTGTTGTCTGATGGTGTATTGAAATGAACAGCTAATGCTCACAATTTTTTAGGTTCTGATCAACTTTGCATGCTTGTGTCTGGTAGTCTTAGCAAATGATTTGAAGGTAACAATATGCAATGGAATTAGAGTGGTGAACTCCTACCATCTTGTCTAGTGAAACTATATTATCTCTAATGCTTTATTGAAGAATTATTTTCTCATTCTCTTTAATGGTTTGAGCAAACTTTCATTCTTATATCTGATAATCTGAGCAGTGTAGTTGAGGATAGCGATATGCAATGTAATAACCACTGTTGATTTGTATTAATTTGTCTTGAGACCCTATACCACTTTGAATGTTCTTGCTTTGATTTGTTTATGTTTGTGATACTGGTGTGCTGCTACTGTTTTATTTTTCTGTTTGTTTGTTTCTCACGTACTACTCTTTTTAAAATTTAAAAAAAAAGTAAGCACAGACTGAATGGACATTTTTCCAAAGAAGACATACAAAATGCCCAACCAACACATGAAAAGGTTCTCAACATCCCTAATCAAGAAGGAAATGCAAGTCAAAATAGTGAGCTATCATCTCACACCAGGAAAATGTCTATTACGAAGAAAAAGTACGAGGGGCTGGGGATTTAGCTCAGCGTCAAAGCGCCTGCCTGGCAAGTGCAAGGTCGTGAGTTCGGTTCCCGGTACTGGAGAAAAACAAAAACAAACAAAAAAAAAAAAGTACTGGCAAGGATGTGGAAAAAGAGCCCTTGGGCACTCCGGGTGGGAATGTATATTGTACATTTGTTATGGAAAGCAGTAAAGAGGTTCTGAGTATACGTCCTAAAATATCAAATGAGTATCTTGAAGATACTTCTGCACTCCCATCTTTACTGCCGTGTTATTCATATCAGCCAAGATCTGTAAAAGCGTAACAGATCCATCAACAGATGAATGGATAAAGAAACATGAACAGTGTGTGTGTGTGTGTGTGTGTGTGTGTGTGTGTGTGTTCATGTCTGTATCTGTGTGTGTTTGTGTGTGTGATTCTGTGTATACAGTGGACTACCACTCAGCCTTAAAAAATGAAAGAAATCCTGACATTTATGACATGGATAAACCCGGAGGTCACTTTGCTAAGTAAAATAAGCCACACACAGGAAACCAAAAACCAATGACCTCATTGTGGAATGGAAAACTATCAAACTGGTTGAAGCAGGGCACAGAATGGTAGTTGGCAGAGCCTAAGAGAGGGGAAATGGGGAGATGCTGGTCAAGGGGGACAACATTTCACTGACGCAGGTTGAATAAGTGTGGAGATCAAATATACAACAATGTGACTATAGCTAACAGTATTGCATCGTTACACATGAGATATGCTGAGAGGGTAGGTCCTGCAAGTTCTCACTACACACATGCAACTATATCAGGTGATGAACATGAGGATCAGCTTGATTGTGGCAATCATTTCACAGTGAATTCATATATCAAAACATGAAGTTGTGTATCCTAACTATATATAATTTTTGTTAGCTGTACTTCAATAAAGATGGAAGAAATCAATGACTGGAACCATAAGGCTGTTCAAATACCAGGCAAAACATTAAGGCCTTCACTTAGGGTTTAAACAGAATTGAAATTTCACACACCCACAATCAGATCATTAAATTGCACATAATGTCCGTTTCCTATCAAAGATTTTTTTCCACTTATCTTCAGTATCTCAAATATTAGCCCTTTTGAAGTGGTCTTTAACAGTTATTTCTCCATTTAATCAAAAAAGAGAATCTTGAACTTTTAACTAACTTATAAGTAATACTCCTATAAAGCAAATCATCCTATTAATATGCTTACATTTTACATTTGATTTTATTCAATAAAGGTTTTTTAGAAAATTTTGTTACCCACATATGACTAAATATTTTAAGATTGTGTCATCACAACATATGTTCCTTGGTTTCCACAATTACAGTTATAGGGTCATGCACAGCATAATGGCAAAAACCTCTGGGATGTTGGTCACTATGCATCTGTCATTTAAAGTGGTACCAATATTCCTCTTCCTCACCTGTACATCTTCACCGAGATGTAGGTAAACTACCATTAAGACATGCATTTTTGTTTGACTAAGATATAAGAATGTAATTTTCCCCCAGTCTGACTGACTCCAAAGTATTACTCTTCACCTAACCAATAACATAAAATAGCAGCATTCCAAGTACAGCATTTACTGGAAAATACTACTGCAAAGTCATTGCAACCAAATTTTAGTCATTAGCAATGGCTCAAATGTGGAATAAAATATTTATGGAGGATTTTTTGAAAAAGAAGCAATCCATCTATTCCTAAAATATCCTAAAATCTTTTACTGGTTTAAGCCAGACCATCAGGAAGTTACATATTATATTCGTCCCCAGGAAAACTTCAATTCCTTAATGTTCCTTAATGCTATACTAGGATGTCATTGAGAATACTGTTCTTCACCTTGCAAAGTATCTTCTCCACATGGCTGAGGGGTCCAACAGGTCCCAGCGTTAGCCTGATTTACTGTTCTTCTCCAGCAGGGAAAGTTTTCGTTTTAAAGACTGAATAATGAAATAATCTTGCTTTCTTCTTTATGCTGGTCATGAGAAATTCTAGCTTAAAGGTTTACATTCCTAAAGAAAAAAAGATTTAGAATTAATATTACATTTCTACTCTTAGGAAGCCAGGTGGGGGGAACAAGTTAAACCCAAAGTGAGAAGAAAAGGGGAAACAATAATGAGAACAAATCAGTGAGTTTCTCAAAAGCAATAATGAACTAAAATTTGGTTCTTTGAAAAGATGAACAAAACTGAGGAGTTCCTAGCACGGATAATCAGGAACCAGCAAACATAAATTACACATATAAAAAGAGGGATCACTGCTATGTATACTGAGGATAGTAAGAGAACAATATCCTCCATGAACTTATGACAATAAATTTGATGCCTCAGATGAAATGAGTGAATGAATTTGAAAGAACTTACCAAAACTGACACAAGAAGAAACAGAAATTGAAAAGTCCTCTATTCAAAACACTTAACATAGCTGGGCATGGTGTTACACACCTATCATCCCAGCACTCCAGGAGCTCAATCAAGATGATCACAAGTTCGAGACCAGCCTGAACAATTTAATGACTTAGAGAGACACTACCTCAAAACAAAAAAAAAGGGTGGGGGACGTAGGTCAGTGAGAAGGTCCTGGGCTCAATCCCTCATAACAACAACCACCAAAATTGAATCTCCCATAAAGCAACTTTTCACACCCAGGCATGGTAGTGGCCTGAAGAAACCAGAAGAGAAACCAGATACTCAGAAAGCTGAGGAAAGAAGATGGACAGTTCAAGGTCAGCTTGGCAATTTAGCAAGACCTTGTCTCACAATTTAAAAATAAATAAATACAGCTAGTGATATAGCTCAAAACTCCTTGGGTTCAATTCTTCAGCACAAACAGAAAGACTTTACACAAAGAAAACAGTTGACCCAGTTGATAAACATTTTTAAGGGAAACTATCAATCTCTGACAAGTTCTTTTAAAAATAGAGGGAATAAAATTGAGCAAAACCAAACCATTTTTGATTTATCTTATGCCAAAACAACCTTGATACTAAACCCTGAAAAAAGATTATAGAAAAAGCTACAAGTTTATATTCCTCATTACTAGATATAAAAATATCATTAATAAAACATTACTAAGTTGAATACAGCAATATACTAAAATTATAATGCATCATGACCAACTGGTATTTATCCCAGGAAGGCAAGGTTGATTTAACATTTGAAGATCAATCACAGCAAACTCTCTATATTTATAGAATAAAAGAAAAAAAAAATCATATGACCATCTCAATAATTTCAGAAAAAAAGAATTTGTGGAAGGGAGAGGGAGGGGAAAAACAGCTAACATGATGGCAAAACAGTAAAGTCTTTCCAGTAAGGTAAGAAATCAAACAAGGATGTGCATTCTCACCTCTTCAACATTTTGCTGGGAGGCCTAGCCAATACAACAAGGCAAGAAAAATAAACAATAAAGGACATAAAGAACAAAAAGAATAAGTAAACTACCATTATTAAAAAGAGAGCTACACAAAAACATCCTAAAGAATCAATAAAACAACTACTAGAACTGAATAACTTGCCCAAAGTTACACCATTAATAAAATCAAAACTGAAATTTGAACTCACACACTCAGGCTTCCAAGATCTTAATCCCTACAATACACTCTATTTAGAAATAACTATGCAGCTGCACCTGCATTGGCCCACAAACTTCAACTCGGCCGTCACTATAGGTATAGTGGCCTCATGTGAAGATTTGGGAACAGAGGTTAGAAAGATTAGCAACTTGGTTCATGCGTTAGCTTCTCATCGCTGTGACCAAATACCTAAGAAAAACAATTTAAAGGAGGAAAGACTTATTTTTTGCTCGTGGTTTCAGAGGTTTCAGTCCATGGTTGGCTGGTTCTATTGCTTTCAGGCTTTGGGCAAGGCAGAAATATCATGGCAGAACAGCATGGTGGTAGAAAACCCATGGCAACCAGGAACAACAAATGCAGGAAGGATCCCAAGAGGAAGGAGGCAGGGGCCAGACAGAGTACCTTCGGGCACATACTCATCATCCACCCTCTTCAACTAGGCCCCTCCTCCTGTTTCCATCACCTCTCAAGAATGCCCTCTAATTATGGTCTCATCAGTAAGATTATTCCACTGCTGAAGTTACAGCCCCTCTGACCCCATCACCTTCCAAAAAGTTCACTCCTGAACACATGACTTTGGGGATACTTTAAATCTAAATCACAATAGCTCACATAGCTAGAAGTAGAGATCACCTAGCAAGGCGATGGAGGTGACAGACTTTGCATCTAGTTCTGATCATAAAACAAAGCTGATTTGAATACATCATGTTTTCCAGACCAGAAGCAAGAAACAACAAGGAGACCCAAATGATAAGGCCTTAAAGTAATGCAGGGATAATGTCATAAAAGTCAAAGAATATGTGATTGGTTAGATGTAAAATGACGCAGGAAAGGGAGAACATAGGTAACTTCAAACTTTTGAGAATGAAAGCACTGTAACTTCATTAATAAAACAGTAAAGTAAGAAGAAAAACATACTGCTATGGGGAGAAGGATAGAGAGAGATGAAAACTTTAAATAAGTATCAACTTGGTAGCTTGGAGATAGTTTTGATGGCAAATGACAGAAAGCCTAAGAAATAGCGGTTTATAAAAACAGAGGTGAGTCTATCATAAAACAAAAACTTTGGAGGTGGCAACTACTGATCTACCTTCAACAGCTGGACAAAGCCAGAACTGGGTTTCATGTTTCTCTCAGACCTTCTTGATGACAAGCTGACTGCCACAGGCCCAAGCCTCAGGTAGTAATTCTAGACAGGAAAAAGAGAACTGGGTAACAAATAGCTCTGTCTTTCATCAGTAAAGCAAAGGCTTCCCTGGAAGTCTCTGGTAGATTTCTACCACGTCACATTGGCCAGCCATGTGTCACACGGACACCCAGCCTCAAGAGAGATGAGAAAATAAATGTGCTCCAGCCCCTGTATCAGAGCAAGTGAAGGCAAACAATGTCTGCCACAACACGTTAATGGGATGTTTGTGTGGGAATATCCAAGAGGAGACAGAAGTGCACCTGGCCTAGACAATGTGCCAAAGACACGAGGTTTCAATAGTCTGCACAGTTAAAGCACAGGTGCATGCTCCAAGAAAGCAAGACTGAAGAGAAAAGAGAGAAGCCAGACTCCGTGTTTTTCTTTTCGGTCAGGGGAAGCCAGCGGGTATACAGGATGTGGCTGAGTCAACCAGGCACAGGATGGCGCCCGCCTCCACTCCGGGCAGCCAGCTGGTGTGCCAGGTTCTTTCCCTGTCATCCTCCGCACCCAGTCATCCCCATCCTCTTTCTCTTTCCGGGGCCTCCCAGGACTTCTAAGGTGGTCTCTCCTCTCCCTCTCCCTCATCTGTGAACTCAAAGCACTGGGAGGGAAACTCCTCCCTGCCACCAATTAAGACTCAAGAAGATGGTTTTGAATCTGACTGAAGAAAAACGAACTGCCTACAACCCAAGGAGATGGTCCAGGGGCTTTAGCAGATACCACAGAAGGGCCACAAAATCTCACAAACTCATGGGGAACTCGAACAAAATGGAGCTACGGTCCACCCTCACTGAAGCAGGCAGACCTCCATCTGGGGGAACCCCAACTATGATAAGCAGGCTGTGCTTGCCCTCCTGAGCACCGTGTCTCTAAAGGCTCCTTCTGGCTTTCAGGCTGCACTCCTGGCCCTCAGCGCCTTGGGTACACTATGCCACAGGTGCCTAGCCTCAGCGAGCCCAGGCGTGGCTAACCCTCCTTTCCTAAACTCATAGGGCGAGGAAAATCCGAACCACAGAATCTAACCCTGATTAGAGTATTAGGATGTATGTAACTGAAATATACTACGTGCTCCCACGGTTATAGGGCCACGATGAGATGTCCACCAAGAAGCCGCAAAATACAGAGTTGCCAAGCATTCAACTTTAAAACGATATACTGCTGCCATCACAAAAAGAGACCACCTGACACAATGTGCCTCGTGACGGGACTAACACTTCTGCTGACGCGTTCTTGTGAAAAAAATCAAATTTGAATCCACTCAAGCTCTATATGAGTAATAATTTAGAAGCATACAGGAGACAGAAGGACATGTGAGATGACATCAGAGGGGAACAATTAAAATTCAGATTGTAAAAATAAAATAGCAGTTTCCTCAAGAAATTTACCTCAAGGAGGAGAGAGAACTGAGACCTAGAAACATGACAACTAAATACAACTTACTTAGATTTTGATACAAACTGCAAGTGTCAATTTCTTTTCAGTACTGGGGATTGAGCCCAGGGCCTCACACATGCTAGGTAATCGCTTTACCTCTAAACTACATCCTCAGCCTCTCCCTTTTAAATTTTGAGACAAGGTCTAACTAAATTGCCCAGGCTGGGCTTAAATTTGCTAGCCTCTTGCCTCAGTTTTCTGAGTCGCTGGGATTACAGGCAGGTGCCACCAAGCACAGCTACTAATGTCAAAATGTTTAGTGTGATAATGATATTGTTTTCCTTTATAAAGAGTCATTATCTTTACAACATATATGAAATATTTACAGAAATAACACCATATGTGGGATTTCCTTCAAAACAGTCCCAGGGGCAGGGAGAAATCCATGTATCAATAAGACACGACTGGCTGTGCGGCGATGACTGCAGAGGTGGGGGAGGGGTGGTACATGAGGATCCTAAGAATCACACTGTTCTCTCTTTTTTGCATATTTTGAAATTTTTTACAATAAAAGTGGTTGTCTTTTTAAAGAGTAGATTACACTACAGCTATGAAATACCATCTTGTCAAAAAAAAAAAAAATTCACCTCAGCCAGGAAACACAGAAGGAGCAGTAGAGGCGGGTAAAACAGCCTGCCTAGAGGGTTAGAGATGCCACTCTATCATCCCCCAAAAGGACGCATGTGACCATTTCACCCTCTGCCATTTGGACCCTCCACTGTGAGAGCACTGCACTGGAGCTGGAATAAAATAATGAAAAAAACACAGGGACTAATGTCAAGGGATGTGAAAAGAGATGT